TACAAATCGGTCCACGTAGAGGACGTTTTTGGAAAGTAGGAAGCAACTGCATGCAGGCAGGCTGGTTCAGAAAGCAACAAGGAGATACTGTATACTCATGTGTTTTAGGTCATGGGATAAGGAATACCTCTCAAGTAAACAACAATGTGCAACAAAACTGCAGGCCCCGTACAGAGTAGTATGGCAGAGTGAAGTACAGCACATTACTAGTAGTTTGACATAGGTCCACTTATGTCACAGTGCAGGACAGTCCAGTATACTACATTATGCTCAAGTACAGATCAGTATAGAGTGGTAGCTCGGTACAGAGTTCATTACTGAGCTGTATGGCACAATGCAGTATGCAATACTACAGTATAGTTGTATAGTTTGGTACAGTAAAGTCCAGCACAGTTGTAGAAGGACAAAACACTAAGCAAATTAGTAAGCCCCAGGCTACGAGAAGCTACGGCACTGCAGTACGAAATACAAAGTGAGTAAGAAACAGATTAGACTGAAATCCCACAGTACAGCAGCTTCAGGTGCTCACCCGGACATCACCATACATGAGGACTGTATATGTATGACTACGTTCACAAAACAAGTCTTGCGTCCAAAAACCAAACAAAACCCTTTACTTTGATGACTGGACATGCTTGACTGGGGAGTTTGTTTACTATAAATTCCACTGTAGATTCTGTAACCATACAGCAGTCAGGGGTAGGGGCTGATGCTGGCTGACAAGAAAACGGAATATGTTCAGCCTTTAACAGATTATGGATTTCTGAGTACCCCCTGCCCTTATTTAATATCAGCCTGATAAGATGAAAAAGAAGGGAAAACCCAAGGCACAGGCACACTGTTAAATTGGAAGCCTCTCTATCCCTACTTTGGCTAATTTCTTTTGCATCAATTTTTTATAAATTCAGATATTTTATCAGAATATTTTGAAACGAAAACCGGTGGGACTATTAAAGTAGATTATTTTAGGCTGTAATTAAAAAAAAAATCAATCTTTTCCTTGAGGGCTCCTGGGGAATTTGGGAAAAGGCAGTTCAGAAGTGTTCCACAGCGGCACCCTACTGGGAAAACCTGGGCATCCCAACTGTACTTTAAAACATTCCCATCAGAAACAGACTGTTCAACAGAAACGGCCTTATGAGATAATTATCAGGGACACACAAATGGGATCTATTGGGAGTGTTCTGGCAAAAAAAAAATACTTCCATTCTGAGCCCAGGTTTAAAGGAGGACGCGAGAGCTGTGGAAATGCATTCATCTCTCTGCAGCCGAGAGATTAGATGAGGAGACGTTAAATCTTCTTAAAGCCTGTACTGCAAAGTACCAGCTGCAGCACAAATTCCAAATTGCATTTCTCCTTCGAACCCTGCTGAAGAGGATCGTCCTTGATTCATTTTTTATTAGTAACCTGTTATAGAGGCTGTGGCTCAGAATGTGCAAGAGAAAAAAATATAGCACCTCTGGCAATGCCAAAAAAGATTACAAAAAACTAAAACATATCGTGCTTTGAATGGAAAGAGAGGATTTTTTCAGTTGGTTGCGAAGCATTGAGCTGCTGAGTCTAAACCTTTCTCAAAAGATGGAGGCCAAGGATAAATGCTTAGCAAGCTTCCAAATCATGACACCACCCAGCTGTTGATGATGAAATGCTAATAAACAATAAGTATGTTCCTGCTAATTCAAGAACACAGTCAAGCAGCTGGGACTAAGCGCTCTTGCACCCTGTGTATGAAGCCAGAGTCTCACAGACCCCTGCACCTTATCAGAAACACATCACACGCTCCAGCACCCAGTCCCTCTGGAGAAGCCTGAAAAAATAAACTCGGCGGTGAGAAATGTTTTGACTTCTGTCTTGATCAGTGATAGCCTCCACTTTCTTGTTCATGGGAAAAAGAAATGGTTGTCACGTTCATCCCAGAGCGATGAAGTCAAAGCCGTGACCTCGTTCACATCAAACAATGCACAGCGCTGTACAATGGGTCCCCCAGGCGGGCTCCATTACGAGCCACCCGCCTGTAAACTCCAGACTGAAACCTGCAAAACAAACGTCCTCACCTATCGTGGGAAGTGAAACTTAAAACCACTGTATTGACAGTTCCCTTTTTCCCCCCACACACAACACTGAACCACAATAACGACACTGTACACACAAGTCAGCCCCTCATGCAAAGTTCGGGCTCACCTGCCGGCTCTAGCACTGCTGTGAGAGGACAGCGCTTTTATCTGCGCTGGTCATCTCTGAGCAACACAACAGGCTCCTGAGGATTTTCCCGACACATATGCTAATCATAACTGAAAAAAACAAACGGAACTATAACAGGCTGGAGCAGACAGAATGTTTTTTAATCCAAATTAAAAGTCTAAAACAAAAGCAACTTGCTACTAGTAGTGGTGGCAGGAACATTAAATGTTATATGAGCCTTAGAGCAGGCCAGTTGATTCACCTCCCTATATTGTATGTTCCTAAACAGACAAGACACTGGGTGGAATAAACATTAGAACAACTGCTGTCCTAAAGCTAGTCCCAGGATTCAACACTGAGAAGAATTCCTCAGACACCCGGTCAATTATCAGCAAGATTCACACTACCTACAGCACACGGCTGCCAGTACCATGATTCTAAGGCATGGAAGGGGCCACCCTGCAAACGAGGACAAGCTACTCAACCTTAACCCAACCATAAAGCTACATAAAGGTGTTCCCCACGACTCTTCCAAAATGGCAGGATGACATCTTGGGATCAATGAGCTAGGAAGATGGGATATAAGCTTGCATTGGTATTTGATGGGAACTTTGCATATGTTTCTATGGCCAACTGCACAAAACCCCCAAATCTACAAACTTTTGTGTATTAAGCTCTAAAGGGTCTGCTGGTTACATTCAAGAACTCTAACAGATTTCACTGCAGAGCAGGGGCCCACCTAGTACATGTTCTACAGCAGGGGTGTCCAGTCGTGGTCCCGAAGGCCCAGTTTGTCTGTGGGGTTTCATTCCAGCTCAGCTAGTTACTGGTTAAACAAGGCCAATTCAACCTCTTCAGGGTGCAGTGGGAAGAGACCGGGAGCCCCCTGCAGACAGGACTGCACACCCCTGTACTAGAGCCAAGGCAAGCCTAGTCGCATTTGAACACAAATTCAACAAGATGCTCGGACCAATGCCACATGCTGTATTCAGGGCAAATCCACATTAAAGGCTAGCAATGAGGTGACTTCTCTTCCACATACTGTAAGTCAGTGCTTCCCCCCCATAAAAAAAGATACTTTTTCCAGCAGCCACCTGTTTCAGGTTCTCCACTAAGCCCCCTTTCTTTCCAGAGCTGCCCCATTTTGCCAGACCAGCACCTGTTACAGTCCGTTTCCAGTAACACGCATCTCTCAAACCACAGGCCTTTAGTTTAGACACTGCCTTTCCCCCAGTCAGGCTATAAAGTAAACACCCATGACAGCGTGCTGTGTTGCAACCTTTCCCCCTGGAAAGAAGAATTTTCAACCCAGAAGCTAAACCTCATTACAAATCTTTAAAGCAAAGCTCTAGGCAATATTCCATTCAGATCCCAAAGGATCAATCTGACAAATTAGTTGGAGTGTTTTCATTATTCATTTCACAATGCAACCTAAAGACGGGTTGAGAAGTTGCTTCACTGGCTTTTTTGGAACATGTTCAGAAACACAAAAGCCGAAAGCCTTATCTGCTGCAATAAAAAAAAAAAAATAGCAGGCCTTTGTACTTGAAGAAAACCAGACAATGTCGCTAAATGTCCAGCTCTGTGAAAATCCCCCCCTCAGTTGTACCCTCTAAAAAAGCTAAGAAAATCCTTGCCTGCATTGGTTTTGATATATCTCTTCTAGAAATGAAGATGAATCAGAAAGACCAAAATTTACTTTCCTTTAACACATTTAGGCATAATTAAAAACTCAGCTGACACCAGCTGCTTTACATGCAGTGACTCCGTTTGTGATAAACGGACATCAGGGTAGGACAAAGTCAAACTGTTTGAAGCAAGAAGAGATAAGAGTCAAATTCTATATTCTGCAGCCGCATAACCGCTGTCACACTAATTCATGGCTTTCTCTCAGCTCTTTCACCCCCTTTTTGTTGAAGCTGAAAGTGAATAAGGCTGGAGGCAAGACCCATGGCGCCAAACCACTAACGAAGGAAGGAGCTCAGAGACAGAACTCAGGGAGGAACACAAGAGTTAGACTGCGAGTACTTTACTAATGCCCCAGTATAGTGACGGGGACACTTTGGATGAGACATAAAACAGAGGTCCTGACCTATGGTCATTAAAAATCACAGGGAGTTTCTTGCACAGGGAGTAGGGGTGTAACCCTGACGTCCTGGCCAAATTTCCCATTGGCCCTTATCAATCATGGCCTCCTAATAATCCCCATCTATGAATTGGCTTCATTACTCTGCTCTCCCCACTGATAGCTGATGTGTGGTGAGCGTTCTGGCGCACTATGGCTGCTGTCGCATCATCCAGGTGAGGCTGCACACTGGTGGTGGTGGAGGGGAGTCCCCATTACCTGTAAAGCGCTTTGGGTGGAGTGTCCAGAAAAGCGCTATATAAGTGTAAGCAATTATTATTATTATTAAAAACAAAAAGCCCTGCGCCAAAAGTGCTTCCACCAAATACTGAGCTCACGGGTCTGCATACGACACATGTAATTTCTCTTTGGTTTTTACTGACACTTACTGTAACTTACCCTAGGCTTCTAGAAGAAGGCTTCTAGCCTTAGAAGCATCCAGTGTGAGCCTTCATGCTCTGAATAGAATATAAAGTTTACAAAAATGTGTATGCATCACTATGCAATTTCATAAAATGGGACACTGCTGGAAGGGTCTGCATACTTTTGCAATACACAGTATATTTTAATTTGTGTATATTAATGGAGCCGAGTATTAACTTTGACAACCCTATTTCACTGATGTCCAGATTGTTCATGTGTCATTGGACACTTGTGGTGTTTAAGGGGCGGTTATATTATTACTCCTCCTACCTCTTTTTCATGTGTGTGAACCGATGTCTGGTCATCACAGAAGGTGCTATTTTTTCCCAGGCTTGCTTTGAGGGAAATCTAGCAAAGGAGAAAGATCAGGTTAAGTGATCAAAGGCAACACCTCAAGGAGAAATGGCTTCAAGTGGGACAGTGTTGCCATATTTATCAAAGGCGGGCTAGAGTCTGCCTGGACAGCGCCACTAGGGAACTTAACACTTACCGGAGACAGAGGTATAGGTTTCTCTCGCAAATACCTGGGGTTTTCAATCTGGAAAACAAGACAATGCATCAAACCCTCATGGATTTTTCTTTTTTTTTTTCCTGGCAAGGCTTCCCCCTGCTTTTCTCTCTCGTAAACAATGCCAAACAACTTCAAAGAGAGTTGCTTAAATACACTGTCTTTCATCTACCTAAACTGTTTATCTTAAAGAATATCCCAGACCACTTCTAGGCATTGTGTGCTCTTAGCCCACTTCCACTTTTTGTGTCGGTCTGTAGTCAACACAACCAGTAATGTGAAAATAATGCGAGCCCATTTCTGGGCAAAGCGGGTCAACATGCATATTCACACAACCACACACACGCAACATCCTGCCTCAGTTGAAGCACTTACACTGCTTCAGATTTCTTATGCACACGTAGTGCTGAAGAAAGCTAAGTAATACTAAATCTAAATCAGAATGATTACTCACATTCAAGAGCGATTCTTTCGCTTCAGAGACAAGCTGCACACTCACTGACCCTCAATTTAACCCAATCACAAAGACTAGTTTTGAGTTTAAATTTTCCTTTCCATTAATTGTTTCGGCACCTGCGCTATGTATGGTACTTTTCCACCATGTGGTGCTGTTCAAGGACTTTGATCCATGTGCTCCCAACCTTGAAGGGAAACCTGAATTCTGTTCTTGTTGGGAAATCAAACCAGATGCAGAACACAATACAAACACGGCACGGGCACACACAAAAGACTTTTGATGCACTGTGTGCGTATTGTGTTTTTGGAACTGTTGCATTTTATAGGACTTGCTGCGTTTTAACAGCTGCCCTGAAGAGACTAGTCCCCTCGGCATGGAAAAATGACCAAATGATTCTGTGGTTCCAGGGATCAGGCTGCACGTGCCTGCACAGGCACACAAAAGATGCTGAAATAATACAAACTACAAATCCAGGACAAATAAAACACACACAGATATGCGCAAAAAATATCCTTAACTGTAGCGGCAATCTAATCCTTTTCAAACAGCCCAGCTGTGTTTTTAAACAAAACCCACATGACGCTATTGTTTTCTGCTTTGTTTTTGCCTTATTTGTTTAAAATACAGTACGTGTATTTGGTTCTGAACCCAGCGCTCTGTACCAGTTAAGATGTGGACCAGATGGGACTTCAATGCATTAGCGAGGCTCACGGAAATAACAAATAATTAGTGCTTTTGTGAGAGAAAACAAAGCATATTCCCTGTGGCATCCAGGATTGTGAAAGTGACATATTGGTATACATGGACACGTCTGGTTCCCATTACCCACGCACCGCTACAGCAGGCCTGCCGAAGTGGGCTAAAGGTCTCTCCTTCCAATCCATCTGAGTACGTGCTCAAGATTCAGCTCTGGGATGGGGAAATATTTATTGGGCATGGATCCCGAGACCTGTTCAAAGCCTGGCATCAGAGCCAAAGTGGTCAAAACAAGTGCTGAGACCCCCCCGGGGGCTCCCAACCGGTAAAGACACTCACCAGAGCTCAGGTTGAGCTTTAGGATCACGGGTGTGAGGCTGGATCACATGACTAGGCGAATGGGATTATCCCAGGGATGGAGCACACTTGGTTGAGCGCAGCCCAGGATCAGGCAAAAGTCGGTGTCCAGAGCTCTGCGACATCTCTTTCCCCATTCAGCAGTGATCTGCACAAATCCCGTGAATGAGGCACTTTGCTGCCTTTAACACGCAAGAAGACAGGTGCTTTCACGGCGGGTCGCAGGACCTCATTCTGCCCCCCGCAAGATCGTTCGGATCTTGAAGCTATGAGTCGAGACGTAAAAATAACCGATTACTGGCTATTTCAAAAATGGGGTATGTAAGAAAAAAAGTTGTTGGCGAATCTAAATGTATAAGAAAGAGGAATGTTCTGTGCATGGAGCCGCAAAAAACAGAACCGGCCCCAATGAGAGACAGGCAGCAAAACCTCGCTGCTCGGGGGGTGAGCAATGAGGAAGGGGAACCAAGCTCCATCCTCATGGGGTCTAAACACCTGGGAGACAAGTTACAGCAGCCGAGCTTTAGCTGCGTAGGAAGCTGGAAGGAAACCAGAACGCACGTGAAAGCTCATGAGTACACGAGACCCACCCAGGAAGGAACGGTCGCCTGCATGCCACCTCCTGGCAATGGGTAACACTCCAGTTTAGTGGATGCAAATGGCATTTTACAAAAGCAAAAAAGTTGTTGACTGTCACACCCAGTACAAAAGTGGTTCCTCCTAGAGGAAGCTGGCCTTGCAGCCCGAATCAGTTTATTGATTTATAACAATTAAAGACAATTTAACTTTTTCTTTAAAGCAGGTTTAATGGTAATGGTGCCCAGTTCCAGAAATCCATCACATTTCCTTTAAACTAGTAATATGTCTTATACTCTTGCGTCTGTTTCTGTAAATATTTCATAATGCTTGGCAACATTTACCATGTATCTGGTGGCTGCGTAACACTAACCAGATGTCCTTTGAAGCAGAATGATTCCACTTTGTAGCTGACAACAAATAACATGCGCTTTTATTACACGGTAAACAGTTGAAGCTTTAACATGTTCTTTTTAACTCCTTTCAAGTTGTTCGGCTGCAAAACTTCATGCATCCTCTCTAAACCCACGCAGAAAAGCCTGAGTTACCGCTACAAAGCCAGATTTTGAAATAACCATAACCACACTTGAAAGAAAATATTCAAAATTAACAAGTCATCAACAGGGAGCAAAGGGTGTGTGTGTGGGGGGGGGGGATGTAGAGTCATTTTGGACAATTCGTAAACAAATAAAAGTATAATCTAACGTGAATCATCCAGCGGCAATGAGAAATCACCATAGCAGCTGTTTTACAGGCGGATAAAAAAAAACACGCATTCTGTAGGTCTTACAGATCTATGTATCTCCACCCACCCTGTTGCCAAGCACAGTCTTTAATAGCTGCTGTTTTGGTTAAGAATGAAGGTAGGCCTATAAAAATTATTTTTGTCAAGAAAGAATACCAAGCTACAGTCATCTGAACCAAAGATTACATGAAAGCTGGGACTATTCCAAGGCCCTCCCAATAAGCCACTCCATTAAACAACTTTGTCCCAGTCTTTTCTATGAAAACTGCATGTTAATGACATATCCAGGAACAGAGTGCAGTGCCAAAGACAAAAGGTAGTAAACATCCCAATGTGTCAGGAGCCTACAAAAGCTCTTTGCAGGAATACCCTGGGTAGTGGAGTCAAGTGCAAGAGCACCATGAAAGCATTTCGAAACATGATGAAGTCAGAAGATGTGCGGAGATACAAGCAGTACAAAACGATAGCAAAGCAAAGAACAGGGTCAAATCAAGGAAGAACTACACTATACCAATACCACACAGATTTTCCTCTTTGCTAACTGGACACTAGGTTCCTTGCCTTCCAGATCGCAAGGTAATTTTTTCTGGGAGTCAACCTAATCATTTGTGGAAGGAAAATGTTGAATGTCTGGAGAGTGGATTTGGTTGTAGGAAGAACCTGCGGGCTGAAGCGAAGAGGGACGCTTTCAAGGCTGCGTGTCGGGAAGAAAGCTCCGCACAAGTGCGGCCTGTCACCAGGTCTCTAGCCAAAAGCTACCCGATGCTGCGCGAGAAAGATGCATGCAAACACAACAGGCCACTCCCAGGTTATTCTTACACACAGACCTACAAATGAACTACGGAAATGATCAACAAAAACACACGTACATGTAGAGAAAAGGGATAAATTTGACATCAAAAGAAAAAAAAACATTCAAACAAGGCACAGAAAGAAAGAGATAAGCCATCTTGGAACAAATGGCACCCCGCCACTATTTTGATACGCTTATCTCAATCAAAGACATGTTACTTGTCACTGTTATCTGCACAGACGCATTAGAAGATTTGTCAGTGTATCTTACAGGAAGACAGAGAGCAACATACAAGGCAGCAAAAACAGTAGCCTAAAAACCTGCCTCACAGAAAAAATGTTTATTTCTATGCTTAAGTTCTGCAAGAAGGAAAGTCTCAGAAAACGCTCTACAGGGGTGAAGCTGCAACAGGGCACTCTTCTCAGATGAGAAAACAGATAGCACTCCGAGAGACAAGGCCTGACCTTTTCAACTTTTCAAAACAGAAAAAATGAAACGGCTAAGTGAGTTATATATAGACATCTCTTCAACCACATGCTTGAAATTTAATGAAGGCTCCTAAACCACAGCTATGTACCACAAACACCTCATTGCACAAAGGCTCCGATAAGATCTCCATTGTATTTTACAGGGAATGTGAGAGAACAGGGCATCATCCTCCAAGCCAGAATAATAATAATGGTCTGGTTTTAGTACAGAATGGAAATGGCACTTGCAAGGGGATGTTATAGATTAAGAAAGCAGGGAAATTCAAGAAAGTGGTTTATGGGTACTTTTGAGCTAGGTGGGGAAGCACAGAGAAGTTGTTAAGGACTGATGCTCTTAAATGAAAAGGTACCCTGTCCTCTCCAGTCCACCCACCCAGCTGTATGGGTGTCGGCATTGATAGAGTGATTCTACAATGGGTCCGGATCCCATCCGGGGAAGTTGTGCTCTCTGGAACAAGCCTAATTCTGCACTTGGCCAGTCTGGCCTTGACTTCACTTAATGGTAAGGCTTGTATGCCGTGTTCTTGTCTGTAGCCTGCTAGAAGAAGGAAGATCCATTCTTTATTTTGAAAATCACATCACACTGGCTGATCGGGTATGTTCTTATGGAGCCTTCGGTACTTTCTGGGGAAAGGCTGAAATCAGGTCTCCTCACCAATCCATGAAGGGCCAAGTGCACTGTTTGAACATAGGAAGGCTCCCATCCAGAAAGCCCGGTCTTCAGGCCAATCTGTTACACATGCATGTGCTGGTGGAAATGGATTAGGATCCAATGAAGTCATAGAGCGCACATAATATTTACTGAAACGCACACATTCCTCACAGTACTGGTCTGGGGCCGCAGAGCTCAAGTACATACCACGCCACCCTATAAATCTCTTGCTGGATGATGACAAGAAAAGAAGATCGAAGCCAAAACAAGACTATTGCAGACAGAAGTGAGCGGGCGACTTAGAGCTAGCCACACAAACACCATTTATAGACATGCTTTCAAAAACAACAACAACAGACGGTTTTCAAGGATATTAACTGAAACTGCTCCAATCTGGCAAATGTAACAGTGCCATATTTTATTAATATAGATTTCTACATCACTCTAATTTTAATATGCCCCTTATTTTCCTAAGAGATCATTAGTCTCGGGATGTAGTTATAGGGAGCAGCAGTGTCTGGACTTGACTGGGAAAGTCCACTGCTGTTTTTACACAGAGCAGATGCTGGCTTGGCGTGGTCAGCTCGGTTTACTGGAGTTGCTTTTATGTGAAAAGGGCAAACTGAGCAAGCCTAACTAGTGCGTTTACGACAGTGTAAGACCATGGTGAATCACGAGCTGAGTACTCTTTTGCCTTGGGTACACTTGACTCCAGCCCTGCCCGTACACTCCCGAAGGAGTTAAGAGAGCTTGCGCTACTTTGTCAGCATCTTGGGCCTGTGCTCCCAGTTCATCAATGTCACTGGTATCTCCTCCCTGGACTGGGGTGAAACTGTAGGGATTTAAGTCAGAAAACCCTTCCGGCCTGCTTTTGTCCCAAGCCAGACTCGGATACCTTGTGGGGCCAGAGACTCAAAGCGTGGTTCTGACTCAGTTGCTTGCAAGTAGAGGCCCACCCAGTAACGCCTCAGACGGACCTCTCATTAAGAGCGTGTTTACACAACCCCTTGGGTTCCACACAAAGCAGCCATGTCTAAGTCAAGCTGACACCCAGAAACTCATTTACTTTACAGCTACCTGTTTCTGGAACGCAATGATGGCAATTATATCCGAGAAGATCCGTGTCTGAGAAGGTACTTTATTACCAACCACTGCACCAAGCCACCAACTCGCTGTCTTCAGGAGACACCTTGTTATTCTCAGTTAGCCCGAACACACAACATCTGAATGGCTCCCACATGGCCCCACTGCGCAAACAAGCCCCAGTGAGGAAGAGCAGAGGCTCATTAACACCAAGTATCAAAACGAGGAGAACATGTTGAACTGTGCCTTCTATTTTTAAAATGCAATACTGCTATACTTCTAAGAAAATGAGAACCTTAATTGCTAAAAAAAAATTCTGACACTATTCTCAGTTTAAATGAAGGGGGTTCCAGTTTGCGGTTTTTACTTTATCCTGTTTGCAAGCCACATGTTGGGGATGCCTGCAGTGACATGTCACTCAGGACTCGGAGACCGTACAAAAAGCCGAACAAGTACAACGCTTTGTGTTCACGTCAGATTCCTAGGCACATTTTCCCTGAATGTACAACGAGGGCACAGGTGGTAGAGAGGGAGAAAAAAATAAAATCAGGACTGGGTTTTTCAACAACTTCAGCCCAAAACACTCAAGACATAGATAAGAATTAGACAGCCCAAACTGAGAAATGCTGAAACATTAAGTTTACATAAGTTTGTCCCCACCAACTGCACCGATGTTATCAGAATCAAAGTTTTTCCTTTGTCCCAGAAACCATGCTGGTGTCTTTTAAGTATAAATAATTTTGTGTCCAAGAAGTACAGCCTGATCTACTTCAAGGCATTACACTGCTGAAAGACAATATGTACTCTTATTTTTTGCCAACTTAATTACTGTATTGAGTGCATTAAAACATTCTTCCAATCACCAATCACTAAAGGAAGGTTTTCTATTCAGGAATTACATTTACCTCTTATCATCAAAACACAGTTTTTAAATCAAGGTGGTAACAAGAAAAACAAAAAGTGTATCCTGTTCTGTGCTCAAATAGAGCACAGGCTAAAGACCATTCTGCCTTTGGGTGAGCCTCCTAATTTTGAAGCTTGTGTGATGTTTGGAGGAGTTCCAAAGAAGCCTTTATGTCACAAAATTCCTGCGCTATATAATGTTGTCCAAAGAAGTAATTAAAGGGAAATGATTCTGGGGAAAAAAAGAAGCAGAAAAATTCCAAGCATACCCCAAGATTCCAGCTGTTCAGACGTGCTTCAAGGTCACTGTCATCGGAAGAGGTCACAGGCTTCCTGTGTCGATCGTCCTGGAAAAAAAAGACCAACAAAGAAAACAGCTTTAATTACTGTCTGAGTGCATGACTCGTCACTCACACAATTAGCAGTGTTTAGGCTGTCGGGCTTTGATCTTCAACGCAATGCATTCGACTAACAAGCGGAAGTGGAACGCATGAACTGTACTTCCCCAGCACAGAAACTGGTGCAGCACGCAGGTCACCGAGCTGGCAGCCCATCTGAAGGCTGGGAAGAGAAACAGACAGCACCTAACATCCCCATGAAGCTGGAAATAAAACGCATTCATTGATGGCATTTAACACAGACATCAACGAGATTTTTTTAAATGAACACTTTGATATAATTACCTTAATATATACCATATGTGGGTAAATGAACATATTATACATACAGTGTATTTTCATTTGAGTTCCATTATGTTAGAATAATAGTCACAACAGCAACTTAATGCCATAACTTTGAAAAGCTACTGGGAACAACAATCATCATATTTATTTCTCAAAGATGGCTCAGAGACTTTTCTCATCTGAACTCGGTGAAAGTTGTTTAAACACCAACCCGCTGTTCCCTGAAAGCATTTAATGTGACACATTTTCAGACTCCAGGAACCATCTACATTCAAATGTCTTTAAATACTGCCACAGAGCACCAGAACGTGTTCATGTATTCTCTCCCATTTAACAGATTCTGAAAAAGCAAATTCCAGTAGAGGAGCCATATTCTCTCTCCCTTTGCTGTTTTGACTTCATGTAACAGGCTGTTTAGGAGCCCTCTGTTTCTCAGCCAGATGCTATTAAACACATTCTTATAATTTAAACATTTCCAGAAAAATGTTTATCCAAGATATATTTTTTTTCTTCTGGATTCAGTTCTGACTTCTCAAATTAAAGCAAAATACACAAAGGTTTAGCAAGTCACACAATAGGAACCTTTGTCAAAAAAGGCCATTATTGGAGGACTCCAAATGCCAGTCACCGGTATCCCTTTACAACTGGTGGTCCTGGTGCTGACACCCAGGTCTACTCTGAACAGATTGCAAAATAAAGCAAAATGAAAATACCTTCGAAACGGAAAAGTAACCCAGAATTGTTTTCATGTCACGGTCTATCCTACTAGTGCCTGCACTTTGAGGAAATTCCTTTCTGTCTGCAAAACAGCCGAGGGACGAGAGAGTGATGGAAAAAGAGCCCGGCCCTCCCAAGGTTAGATAGTTAGATAATACTTTATTAATCCCGTAGGGAAATTGATGTGTTATAGCAGTCCAGCCCAAGACAACCAAAACAGACATCAGAATAGTAAAACAAAAGACAACAAAATAAATAAAAATAAATAAATACATAGGTGTGTGCAAAATGTGCTGATCATAGTCGCTGTAAAAACAATAAAATATGTGCAAAATGTGCATAGGTTTATACAGACTGATTGTCCAAAAAGTACAATGGAGTAAACATGCTGTCCATAGAGGAGCAAATGAAGGGCTAACAGTCCTAGCCTAGGGCAGCGTTATACACCCTGACAGCCGCCGGGAGGAAAGACCTGCGGAAACGTTCCCTTGAACACCGTAGCTGGAGCAGTCTGTTGCTAAACGTGCTCTGCTGCCCAGTAACAGTCCCATGAAGGTTAGTCTCCTCCAGTGAAAAGGTTGAAGAAGACAAGAGCCATCACCCGCTAAATTTCTGCTGATTGCACTGCACGATACCAGAAAAAAGACAGACTTTAGCCCCGTGTCACGTGATTTCATCTCAGCTCTAGTGTGGCTGCAGACACCTGTAACTGTATATAAGTAATGATTCCAGTAAGTGTAAGTAAGCAATTACCCTGCATACGATCTCCAGATCCTGGGGGACAGTGGTGACATTTCAAGAGAGCTGGCATGTTGCCACCATGATAAAAGCATTGACACATTCCTTCAAAATCCAGACTCAAAACCTTCTTCTTTAGAAGAGCCTTTACTTAACTGGTTCCATTCTTTACCGCTCTGCTCCTAATATACTTAGTACCACTGTCCACAATCTCCTCTGTGTATTGTAATTGTGTTTTATCTTGTGTATTCTTTTTATTTACTGTTGTCATTCTGTAAAGCGCTTTGAGAAGCCACCTTTAAAGGTGCTTTATAAAATAAAGTTTATTATATTATTTTGGGTAGCGGTTACTTAATTCTGCCTCCTTCCAAAAAAAGGGGTGCATCCCTATTGAAACAGACAGGGGCGGGAAAAAAAAAAGATGATGTGCTTACGGTTTGAAAAGCCACATGGTTTTCTTCGTCTGATCTTCCCGTCACAACGCTGGAGCGGGCTTGCGATGTTAACTTTTCACTGTCCGTGTGTCTTCTCCTGAAACCAGTGTGGAAAATAGCAGCCATCAGCATTTCAGGAATTCCATTTAAGATGTCTACAGCATAGGGGTGCAGATACCAATCAGTTTAAGAGAGTAACCGTCGCACAGAGGCTGCAAGTTGCACAAAAGAAGAAAGAACAAAAGATACATATGGTTGGACAAAAGTTTTGGTTAAACACCAACGCCAAAACAGACTGACTAGATCACAGGTTTTTAACACAACTGGAGGGGCCAGCTCACTAATATTTAATTTTCCATTCTACACCGAACCAGAAGGAATTCTCAAATTATTTTCTACTGACAAATTACACAAGTTACTAATTACACGTGCTCTCTAAAGCATATTATATTTAAGCTGAATTATATGTGAATCTCTCTCTCTAGGTATGCAATATATTTTTACAACTAAGCTATTTCACAGTTCAGATGTGTTATACAAGGTAACGAATTATGCCTGGGAGAAATAAAAACCGACACTGACTGAATGTTAAAAGTGTTAAACGGGTAAGCTTTTGCCTTATGAAGCTAATTCTTATACTTGTGAAGAAGAGCAGCTAACCCTGCTTATTTCAGCTGGGCATGGTTAAGATTTGAGATCAGAGAATAAGGAATTAGGTTATGGTTGTTTAACATGGCTGCAGGAACTTTGCTGTGAAAAAAATTCTGCAATTTACTGGTTGCTTTTTAAAGTGTTTACACTTCGCCTTGTACACGTACAGTCTGTGGTCTACAGCCAGGGTTTTCTTGGGGGGTTGAGATACAATGAAAGCGCCCAGTTCTCTCAACCTCACTGTTTAAATTTGAACAAGTTAATCCTGTGTATGACAGGCTGACAGAAGCTGCCAAACGCACAGAAAGAAAAATCCTGGAGCAGTCAGGCACATACTTCAGACACTGAAACTGTTTGTACTTCGTGTTCGACAGGCACAGCTAATTTGTTTCACTACCTAATTATGAACATTCAATTGTGTTAATTACATGCACTTAATTCTGGTTTTAACCGATTTAAATAATCCTGAGCTAAATGACTGTCACCTAAATAGGGAAAGGGTTGTGTGTGGGGGATGAACTTATGCTTGGCATTCATGCACCAAGTGCAGTGGAACCAGCTGCACTTTTACAGTTACAGTACATCTGTGATATTGCTTTGCTTTTTCCGCTAGAATTCTCTAAAGGTCGTGACTAAATCCTTTTACCTCTTAATCAATGAAGAGTTTAAAGCTGCATCTACCTGAAGAAAGGAAATTTCACCTCGCTCTCCTTACAATTCCATACCATTTTTCTTCCTTTGAAAACGCTCTGTGAAGTTTTCATAAAGGTTAAAAATGAGAGAAGGATGTCTTGCTTGATAATAGCACGTATTTCTTAAAGCACAGCTCTTTTTTTAATTGTTGTACATACAGAATATAAACTCCCATCAGCAGCCCTGCCTTCAATTCTGACCAAATGAGAATGATCACCCTGGAAGTGAACTAGGAACTTATATTTCCAATACAACTTCTAACGCAAAACTCACACTACACGCTGACACCATCAGTGTCTTCCCAGTGTAAGCCTGCTGCTGCCTGATCTGCCAATCACTCAAGAGATACACTTTGTTGCCAATCCGATGTATCCATGTTCCCTGCTCCCAGCTCTGCCAACTGTCATAAACAGTTTTGCCAAAACAATAATGGACATAACTGGAAACCACAACAGCTCACCTGCTTTGCATAAAGTATGATAAACTTAGCCAGATGGCACAGAAAGTATGTCAGCATGCTCGAGCAAGAACAAAATGGTGCATTTCACCCTCATTTGTTATTAAGTCAACAGGTGGCATAAAATAGCTAAATCAAATGTGTCCAGAGGTTTCAGTGTCCAATATCAAAGGAAACAGAGACGAGGCTACATAAAAAGGAAGGTGTGCAAATCTTTGAAAGAAATTATACCATGTTGTCCCACATGAGATATCCAAAAATACAATAAACAATCCGTGGTACATTATATGGGGGGGAAAAAAAAAGCCTTTTTCACATGAGAAACTTGGAATTAAAATGATTACTCAAACCACAAACTCTATTTATCCACCCACCTCTTTTTTAAAAAAAGTTCCTTAGCAAAATCCCCTATTCTTTTACAGTGAATACAATTATGTACACGCTGACTCAGCATTATGGCAACTATGTAATGTACGCCGCATGTCAGTTCTGGCGATTTCTTGCAACGTTTCTTTCAGTTCTTAGTGCATGCCAAACACAATAAACAATATGTCAAAATGAAGTGATGAGCGTTTAAACTCGGAGCCCAGAAGCAACATGCAATAGCTTACAGTCAGCACGTAGGCTTTATCAAAGGAGCAGGAGCTCTTCCAACCTCATGGGTCAACCTTGCAGAACGCTATCGGCTTCCTGCTGCTGCACTTTCCCATGAAGCCCCTGAAGGCAAAGTGACTCAGGAAGCCAGGTAAAGGTCACCACCTGCTGGCCAGTCAGAGAACAGAGTGTGTGACCGCCGACAGCCAGCCAGAACACAAGGGCAAGGAACTCTTAGATGTTGTCGTTCTAGTTTTAGCTCAATCTCGAGATGGGGGGTGTCACAGAAAACTGACTTAAGGCTGTATGGGATCCCAGTCGGTCAGAGAAAGAACAGAAAAACAACCAAAAAAGCAAATAAGTAAGAGGTGGATCTAGCTCAGTGGCACACTCACACACCTCCTTGTCCCAAGTTACAAGCTCTGGGCAGGACTATTTCAGTGGCACCTGAAAGTGTTTGGAAAGAACATTCCCCTGGCTCCTGAACTAGCATTCTAGCTTCTTTGGCTGTCCAGAGGCAAGGCTCAGGCTAACAAAGGCAGAACAATCATCACCGAGGTCTGGAACGGCTGTGGCCAAACAAACTAAGGAACGGAAATCTGTCTCTGTAGCCTGTTGCAAGAGCTGGGTCAATGAGATGATCCCCTCATTTGCAATGGAGAGGATTATTTTCCATAGGACAGGCAATGCGAGGCGATTCCATAGGATCTGGGTTCCCTTTCTTGAATGTTCTGACAGAGGTTGAGCTTCTCTGAAAGGTAACAAGTTATAAAGGTAACAAGATTTTGTCCTATATAGTCTTGAGGATGGCCCACAGTCTATGGTTTGACACTACTGCACCAGAGCTTAGCTGGCTTTCACAGGGCCTCATACTTATGTCAGCAAAGTTCCCCTTCTGAAAGCCCCAAAAAAATTCTCATCTTAATTGGAGTGCTGCCACCGTGGGACACTGAAATCAAAAGGACCAGACTTCTTGTTTCAATTTTGGTTGAAACGTTTATTTTTGCCCCTGGGGGCAAACTTTAAGCAATTTACTTTTCCTGGAGGGAAACAAAAACAATACTAGTAACTTAACAGGAATACAACATAAAAATTTAGCATTAAAAAAATGAAATGAAATATACTCCCCGCTGCAGTCTGTTCGGGTACTCACAGCAAGTTATCAATTAGCAATGTGACACAGAGTCATAAAAGGAAATAAAGGAAATTGCACTTAAGGATTTCGTCACACAAAGAAGTTCAGGTCAACTAAAATGCCAGCTCCTTGAAACGGTCACCCTAGGCTCCTTCGAAAACCAGCTGGAGTAACCGATGGTAATCAACTGAATGTAATCATAGAGGCAGGCAGAGTAGCCCCTTCTTGTTTATGACACCTCTTATTTCTGGCGTAAAAGCAAACAACGACCCCCAGTGTAGCTGGCGTGCCGAATACCAACAGCATACCCCGATGGGACTGTGGACTCGGCAGGACAGAAAACTCTTGCCTTCTGAAGCGAAGCGAGGAGGTCTGCGTGTAAATATGCCGTCAACCCATATCCTCTGAAGAACAGCCACTTTATTAATGGTAACAGAACAAAAACGCGGAATGCTTATCAAAATTAATTTGCTAACTCCCAATAATCAGGATGAGTGCGCAAGCTCTACAATAACCTTCCTCTGGCAAGGGCTTTGTAATGTGATCAGAAAGACAGACCGTTCTAATGCCAGACACTTTCAGGCACTTCAGACTTTCCCTGAGACGGAGATTAACTTGGCAATGGATTTCTTGCCACCAAAAGGAACCCTTTGATAATCTAGGTTCTGCTGAAATGACGAGAGAAAAGGCTACTTTAAAAAAAGGAATCATTTTCAGATTAAATATATATCAAAGGAACCTTGTAAAAAGTTAGGAGACGCCAATAGACTATAGTTGCATGCCATAATAAATAATTTAACAGAAAAAATACGTGGCAAGTACCATAAAAGACAGAAGTTTTCTTTTCATCCTTGAGAGTGTAGAAAAATGATTGGGAAGACATCAACGCGAGGCAGAACACATTAATCTTCGTTTTCCTCTAGGTTCTAGGTAAGCTGATCTTTGGAATTTCCTTCATTAAGAAAGGGCCGATCTCTAAATTCAAACATTCAAAGAAACAAGACACTGAATACAACAAACTAGAGGAAGACAAGCCCGTGTCCGAGCACATGGACAGGCGACACCAATATCCTGCTGCTTCAACCGTTTGCTCAGCTCTCTCTCACAACGGTTTTGTCTTTGAAATGAGGGTTGAAGCGGATAAAGGTCTAAACCACTTCTTTTTTTCCAGCTTGCCACTGCTTTTCACCACAAAACACGACCTCAGTTGCCTGGCTGTTCACAGATACACTAATTGTTGGACAGTTGGAGTCGTCCAATAAAGGCCACACACCCTCGTGCACCTCAGCTATCACCAGGGAGCTCTTAAGCCTGCCATAAGCTGGGCGGGCTGGCATGCACATGGCAAAGGGGCTTGTTACCAGCTGCACCATTCTTACAGTAATCACTGGACCCCTTCACATCATCATTATTCAGGGACCACGAGAACGATGCTTTAACCAGAAAGGCAGTTTTAACCTAACGAGTAAATCTCATTTGGATTTAACAAAACCACTTCTAAAATAAGTTTTTTTTTAAAAAAACAGGAAGCAGAAACAGGAAAACTTGTCTGCTTCCCTCACCCAGTACTTGGGCTTGCCTAAGGCGTAGCAAGAACTTTCAAGCTCATGAACAAGTCGATTTGGTCGAGGAGGCATGAATGTCCAAAATTTCAACAAACCAGAGACACAATGTGACCATACAAAGTCATACAAGACTGCATAGCAGGCATAATGAGCAAAATAATAGTGCCTCCTCTTACTCTGACCTACTCAATTCAATAACGATCTTGCGTTTTCCCTCTGGACACTACATCTTTAAAGTGGTTCCTCTCCAGAGAGAATTAAAGCATGTTTTCATGACTCAGAAGAATCATGGCTATGGAAATGCAAGTCCTTGGCATCGGACAGACAGCAAAGGACAAAGATCAGACCAAAGAATGGCAAGCTAAGCCAAGACGTTTCTTTGTTTTAATCTCATCGAAATCTCATCGACACAAAACAAAAGGTCTTAATTTTCTCTTTTCAGATTGTTGCCTGTGATCTGGAAGCTTTAAAGGTTTATTGCAAAGACTATACATGAAAGATAAGCCTTGCAGCTCAGACGTGCCAGGGAGCTGTTGGGGGAAAGATTTTAGAATTCAGGAAGGTGTGTACAGCCAAAGGTCCCATCATACCCAGTGCTGAGTCTTCATCACCAAAAGAAATGAGTGAGAAAAAGTCATGCTCTCGGCAGTCTTGAGGCTGCAGTGTGGAGCACCGACTAGAGCTCAGGACATCATACCAGAGAGTCACAGGTTCGGTTCCCAGGCGAGATTGCACAAGATGTACCTTTGAGCAAAGAATTGACTTTACACAGATTGATGAAATAAAGGCAGCCGGGGTCTGCCAATTGTCACTGGAAATCAGTTCTCTTACAATTAAAGAAGAACAGGAGAACACACTGTAATGTCCTGTTGTCATCCAATCACCCAGTACAACCCATAAACAAAGCTCAGGGAAGTCAGTGGACAGATTTGCATTCCATTACACACCAGTATTAACGAGCGTTTGCGAGCTGAAATGTCTTGATGTTATGTAGATGGAAAAAATAAAGTTGGTTTAATGAAATTCTCTTACGCAAAGAAACAAAAGAACTAAAAACAAAGTAACACTTTCAAAAAATATAACTGCTCACTCAAGGGCAAAGAAATGGATCTGAAACTCTTACCAAGAAGGGCGTTCATGCACACACCGATGCTGAAATACGATTAATAAATTCTTGACACACAATTTGTTACAGAATAGTTCTCGCCTCTTAAGAGCTCCCCTCAAGAGTTGATTATCTGCGCCATTAATGCGAGGAGGAGAATTGACGTACTTGTTGCAGTTTAGTAACACCCATCACAGACAGCTTAATAGGATTTTCTGCGACTTCAGAGAATGCTCCTACTTGCCTTCTGTCTAAAGAACGCAATCCTGCTAAAACCTGGTAATTAAGAGAGGTCCCTCTTCAGCTGCATCTCCCCCTAGTCCTGCCTAATTCCTTATCATCCACTCAGTAAACATGAGGGATGGAGACACTTGTCACTTTTCACAGCCCTGCTGCTTCGGATTCCGACTTCAAAGGAAGTTTTGAAATTATGCCCTTTTTGATGTTGTTGTAATTAATTATATATAATTTTGTTTTAGGAGGCTGCCTTTGGGATAGATTGGAGATTTATTTTTGAATTTTTATTGTTCACACTTTAAAAAAACAAAACAAAACAGTATATGATTCTTTAAAAAAATAAAATAAAACTCCCTATCTCCTAGGGCCTCTATCAACAGGCAACACAAGCTCCACCCTGGGGCCAATCAGTTGATCTCTAACTCCAGATGGTGTGGAAGACTTAATTTTTGAGTTTATGTTGGAAAATAAAAGGTACAGACGAAAAGCAAGATTTTTCACACATGCTGAGATGGCATATCCTTTAGTGTGTGCCACGGACAACAGACAGCGATAGATCACATGAACAGATGAAAGGAGAATTTAATAATGCATTAAAGAACCATTTGTTTCTTCAAAATGCCCATATGAATATTTAGCATTCTGTTCTCTTGATTCTAAGGTTCTCTTTATAATGCTAATCCTGATATACGTCTGCTGAGCTTTGACTCCCATTCCTCACTAATTACTATGAAACCCAAATCCATTACAGCAAGCACATCATTAAAGCCCATAAACGCTGCACTGTCAAAGGCAAGCATCCCTGAGAGGGGTAGTCTATCTAATAGTGCACAATTGCATGTTTTATAAGAAGCTGTAATTAAGATGTGTTTAATCAAAGCAGCATTCTAAATAAACAATCATGAGAAAAAAAACAAATATTCTGGTGGTGGAAAAATGGATGGATACAGCAAGGGAGGCATATAGCACAGATAAGTAGGAGAGTGCATGGTCTTCAAGAAATAACATTTTGAAAAGTAAATTGCCCAAACAAACAAAAAATCACAACTGAGAAAAAAAGCTTCACAATGGTCTATGCCCAGCACCCTTTCCAAATGATTTTTTTTGACAGACAAAAGACAGAAACACTGCTCCTGTGAGGCTGCAGAGACAGGCTGGCCAGGGGACAGGGGGACAGCTCTGAGCGCACAGCTCAGAAGCACAACTCAAGCCGCCTCCCAGACTCCCGCTGCACAGCGGAGCAATCCATTCCAGGTTTTACGAGCTTAAAAACCGTACCGAATACATCTGAGCCTGCGATCCCTATCTCCACGCACCTCTCCACAAGAATGAGGGCTCGGATCTGATATCGCCTGTAGAGCCCGCAGCTTGGAAAACGTGGAATGCACCGGAGTGTAAAAGCGACTCATCTAAGCCCCCGAATCCGCACTGCAGTCTGACGCAGGAGAGTGCCGAAAGGAGAGCCCGGGTACCTGTGCGCACGTGGGGCAGATGCAGGAGACAGAAGTCTTTCCCGGGGGGGCGAGGACCACGGTTCTTCGTTGGGGCCCAGCTCCCCAGTCACCCAGTCAGGAAGTCTCACAGATCCCTGCTCCAGCGGCCTCCCACACAGCGGCTCATCAAAATAGATCGACTTCAAACAAAGAAACAAACTCAACCGTAAAAAAATAAACACTACATTTGTTAGCTGTTAAAATTCTTGTGATACATCAGATGGGGGGGGGGGGGGGGTGAGAAATTCTGTGTACTTTCAAAATGATCTAACCTTTCTAATTACGCTTTAGTGAACTGATGAATGTCAGAAAACCACAGGATGGGAACAAAAGAAGATCATTTTGGGTTGTGGGAGTTTGGAACAGGCTACACTACCATGCTGTTGAAGCCGATATCCTGGCTTCTTTCAAGAAACAACTGGATGAGATCCTGGGATCAATTAGCTACTAACTACCAAAAAGGCTGGAGGGGCTGAACAGTCTCCCTTCACTTGTAACCTTTTTCATGTTCTTTTTTCAGAGGCCACTGGGCCTCATGGGTGGAGGAACACTGACACCTGGTGGCTAGTCCACGTTACTGCAAAAGAAAGAAAATTTATTTTCTTCCAGTTTTAACCCCTTTTTTCTTTTTTGGATTGTTATTATTACCACCACCACAAAAATTTGTTTTTTTGGCCCTTAACTTCCAACGGTTTTTTGGTTACGGGGGACTCTCCTCCACCACCACCAGTGGGTTGATCCCACCTGGATGATGCAGCCAGAGTGCGCCAGTACGCTCACCACACCAGCTCTGTGGGGAGGAGAGCGTGTGATGAAGCCAGTTCATGGATGGGATTATCAGGAGGCCAGGACCCCCAGGTATTACCCCTACTCATTTTGAAAAAGGCCCTGGGATTTTTAATGACCATGCAGGGTCAGGACATTGGTTTTACATCTCATCTAAAGGAAGGAGCCATTTTTACATTATTGTGTCCTCATCACTATATGGGGCATTAGGACCAAAGACTGCAGGGTGAGCGCCCCCTACTGGTCCCACTAACACAGCAGCCTTAGTTTTTCCCCAGGAGGTCTCCCATCCAGGTACTGGCCAGGCTCACACCTGCCAAGCTCTAGTGGGCAGCCAGTTGTGAGTTGTAGAGCGATATTTAGTTTAGTTTATTGAACAGTGACAGCCCACAGCTCTTGTGCAACACCAGAGTTGGGTAAAATCTAATTTGCATCTGTAGTCCATAAGAAGGACAGAGCCAACAACATACAAACATATAAATTAAAAACATCTAAAGATATAGTGCATGATAAATGGATTTTACAAAACCATTTTTCTAAAACAGATATATTACTATGACTTTCAGGGACAGGAAAAACTCTCCTGTCCGGCTCGTGTTGGTGCAGCACTGCTGTCTGTGCCTACCATGTACGTGGGCAGTGTCTTCAGGCTCCCGGGCTCTGGTCTGTGGGTGAACGGCCCCTCCAGGACTCCCCTCCGCAGCATGTGCAGCAACAGCCGGGCGTACAAGTTGCGATTCTTCCGGCCCATGATGCCGGCGCCGGAACCGGACGGGTCGCACAGCTTCTTGATCCACAGAGCGCAGCGCTGTCGCTCTGGGCGAGGAAGGGTTACAAGACGGGAACAGAGCGACAAAAGAGAAAACAGGTAGACCGCGGGTTACCGCACTCATTGGTTACACATGAGTGTGGGGCGGGGCAGTGGCTCTGTGGCTGGAAGGTTGTCGGTTGAAATCCAGCGGCCGGCAGGGGACTCCTACTCTGTTGGGCCCCTGAGCAAGGCCCTTAACCCCAGCTGCTCCAGGGGCGCCGTATAAATGGCTGACCCTGCGCTCTGACCCCAAGCTTCTCTCTCCCCGTCCGTGTGCCTGTGTGTCTCATGGAGAGCAAGCTGGGGTCTGCGAAAAGACAAATTCCTAATGCAAGAAATTGTATGTGGCCAATAAAGTGATCTTACCTTATCATTTATAAACACTCCAAACCGAATGGCTGAATAATATTATTATAAACAGGGACAAAATATTTTGGGGCATTGCAGAACATAATGAATTCAGCAAAACATGGCAGTACAGGAGGTTACAGCTGATACCAGTGACTTTTTTTTACCTGATGTGTGAGGTAGTTTCAGGACATAAGGCTTCATGTCCACCAAGTAGTGATCAAATTCCGAGTCCAGTTTCTCCCACGTGTCCTCTTGGCTACTCATTACGGCCTGTCCCTCTGACAAACTGCCATAAAACAGAGATTTGTATTCACATAACCAAACGCATGAAAAGCATATCATTGACAGTATGCCTATTATGCACACATAATCCTGCATTGCAAAAGCATACAATTAAATTTGAGGAAAATTAATCCACCCCAACTGTACTGCTAATGTGGTGCCTGTGCAAAGTACTGTGTTGTTTCCTGCTCAGGTTTCCTGCTATTATTAAAGGTATCACCAGGTTATTAGATAATTAACTGTTAGACAATTCTGTGAAGCAGCCAGGAGTAACCTGTTGTGAAGGGGAGACAATATTTTACACCATCTGAAAGATGGATTCCCTGCTGGAACATGTTACTTCTTTCTGCTTCTCAGATTGGAATTAACCACCACTTGGTCCTTTGCAGCCAACCCACAGCGACGCAGCTCACTATAGAAAAGAAAGGAAAGAAACCCTGAAAGAAACCAGGGTGTCAGGTTCAACAGCATGCCTGGCCAGCTGGTTCCAGACCCCCACGACCCCGAGAGTGAAGAACTGTGTCCTGTTCTCACAGTTACAGGCTCTTCCACGGCGTGCCCACTCGTCTCCTCTGTGGATTCCTGAAGGAGCCCGCAGACTTCACTTTGCTACTAACCTTGAGGAACCTCAATACCTTCCCTCTGCTCTTCTGTTCAAGAGTAAAACAGCTCAATTCTTTCAGCCTGTCAGTACGGGACACACCCTCAACCCCAGGGATGTACCAGGCTGGTCTTCTCAGTGTGCCTTCACCCAAAAGCCCTCACTGCTCTGACTCAGATTCACCAGATTTACAGGGTATGCCAGTAAAGCCAACGAAATAAAATAATACCGTTATAAAACACACCCCATTTGATTTTCTAATATGATAAACATCTTAACCAAAATGTTTCTAATCTGTAACCTGCATCCTTTATCTGAGAGAAAGAGTGAGACACAGAGCGTTTCGGGAAGATGTCAAACTCCTTACGAACGACCTGACCGCCATTAATCTCAACGGCTTCATGCTGGAGTAGTTCACTGCGTGATGGACAACTTCCTTTAAACACAGAGAGGGCGAAAAGCTGCAGTACTTGGACGGCATTTCGCGTTTTCTATTCAACACAATACAATAAAAGCAAAAAAGGATGCGTCCTGCCTAAAAGAAGAAGTAAGAGCTGAATTATACAGAATATTCTTAGCATTGAAAGAAGCTAACTTTAGAAGGACGCAATTAAATGAGTATAAAATAAAACATAATTTTAGTCTGGCAAGTAAATTAAAGCTAGAACTAACGAGGACTACCGCAAAGACCTTGTGTTACAAGCAAACACCACAAACACAGTCGATATAAGGTTATTCATGAGCTAAACTCGACCACACTATCGTTTCTGCCCGACGAAAACAGGACCCGAAAACATAAAAAAACAGCAAACTGAGAAGCTACATTCTGTCGTGTACATAACAAAATAAAGCATCTTCACCTCTTAGTGAATTTCACTGAACCCGGCGAGGAGTGTAAATAAAAAAAGACAACTCAATATCACTTGCAAGAACTTTGACAGCCGCACAGATTTTCAGCTCCTCACGGCTCCAAACGGTTCAAAACTCCCATCCCAGCCAGCAGCACCGACGTCACATCCGATTTCCGCAAACAAGTGCGCGTCGGTTTCCATGGCGACCGCGGCCCACAAGCCCCGCAGCTCGGGCTGCTTCATGAAGAGCAGGAGGAGAAGGGTCTTACGGTCATTTTTTTTTCCACCGGCCCTGCGTGTTAATATTGTAGTTCAATTCCACACTTCGTACACTTGAGAGTTCTGCACACAAAAAAAGAAACATTGTGGCCCCAATTCCACCCTGCATGGTATATGTAGATATATATATGCCAGTTCTATATATATATAGAACTGGCAGTTGGAAAGAGGGAAGAGAACTTGATGGGAAGAACTGAAATGAGGATGTTGAGATGGATTCTGCAGATTTCGATGAAGGATAAGATCAGAAATGAAGAAATCCGTAGACGATGTAGGGTGGTGGATGTGGTTGAGAAAATGCGAGAGGCAAGGTTACGGTGGTATGGACAGATCATGAGGAGGGACGTTGAGGAAGTAACAAAGAGGGTAATGGAATTTGAGGTGGAAGGTAACAGAGGAAGAGGCAGGCCTAGAAAGAGATGGATAGATTGTGTGAGAAAAGATATGGAGGTATGTGAAGTGAGTGAGGAAGATGTGCTCGACAGAGACAAGTGGAGAAGAGCAACCAAAGCATCTGACCCCAGGACAGTCTGGGACTAAGGCTGTGAAAAAGAAGAAGAAGAAGAGGTTTCATCTAATTGATGTTGATAATTGATCATATACAGTAACTATAAATTCGTGGTTTCTAATGGCTCAGGCTTCAATTAGCCAGTGCTCACTATGAAGCTGTGATGTTATGGGTTTTAATTAGTCCATTAAAGGCCGTTCAGAAGCAGCACAGCCGCTGACAGGCCGGGAGCGGGTGACGTCCAGTCAGTCTCTCGCTGTGGGAGACCTGGAGACATCCCGAGCGAGACTGGTCACGCCGGACGAGCAGGCGGGGAGCAGGAGTGAAAGACGAAATCGACTGGCGAGCTGGCCTCGGCCAGCTAGGCGCACGGATGGTCGACTCCAGACGGACTGTACTGCATTGCCGGTTTTCTTCCCAGGTTTTTGCATGCCGGAGACCCGGGAATGTGGATCTTATGGGCCTTCATGCATCTCTGAACCAAGCTGTCAGCCAGTCCCAGAGAGGAGTGGGGCATCTTGACAGCTGCATGTCTCCTGCAGGTATCCCTCAACACACATTAATGATCATTAATTAGCACTCAGTATTAACAGCACAGTGGTGTGGTAGTTAGTATAGTTGCCCTACAGCTGGTTTCCAGGGTGTGGTGCCTTCCGTTTGGAAGTGAATTTATTCTTAAAAAGCTCAGCGTCCCGGCGTCAGCGGAGAGACCGATTAAGTAACGTTAAATAAATGCCAGGTGACACTTTGCACCAGGATAGGACGGTCCTGATCTGCAATTTATCGCCCAAAAGCCCTGTCGGCGAATATAAATACGGATACTGTCTAAACGTCTTACTGATTCTTTTATTTGAAAAAAAAAATGGGAGAGTTGCATTCGCTAAAGGACATTTCTTCCAGTTGTTTGTCATTTGAATCTGTAGAACCAGACACAGCTGAAATATTTATAAACTATTGTAGAAATAAAGGGAGATTGGGGGAGAATAAGGAGGTAGAGACATAAAAAGCGGTGTTATAAACACAGTTTATTATTTTTGTTTCATGGTATCGTGAGAGAGAATGATGAGGAATTAACACATCTTAATTTCTGAAGGTAGTGACTTGTAATTTAACTTGTATTCAACTGCACCAGGTTCTAGAAAACAAAACACAAGATGTTAATAAATTAGTTGTCAAATTATTACTGTTGCAAATGTTTATCTTTTTCATGTTCTATAACATTTCTGAAACTTTTTCTGGGTTTGAGGAAAATCCAGAAATCATAAACAAAAAAAAAACGTTTTACAATGTTCCTGAAAACGGTTTCACTCTTTGTATCCTCGATGTCAAGTTATTATAATGCAGCTAAATGAATTTTCTATTGCCATTCTCTCACCTTTGAAGCATTCTGGGATATTCAGGGTACCATCAACACACTGGGTCACCACTGGGTACCCACACTTCTTTTCCTCATTTTTGCAGTAAAATGCCACATGTTCAGAATGTTGCACTCGTTTCTCAGGCAGGTCTTCAATCCATATCTTTTTACTACTATAAAAGATGCGTCCTCTTCGAATATCAATTATACAGGATGCTGGGTTAAAGACGAAACAAGACAAGACATTATGTTCAAGAAATGGAAGGTCAGCTTTTTGAATTTTGGAGAGAAAGAAAGAGCTTTCTTTGGCTTCTCCAAAAAGTGGGTCCAGTCTATTGCTGAACATCTTCCGCGCCTTCTAAAAACCTGCACATTCAGAGTGAAACTCAGCATCCTACAGCCTCTCCCTGTGCCCTGCGGTTGTCAGCATTGATGTACTGTAGCACACACAACTAATCACATCCCAGGTAGATAGTTTTCAAAATATTTGTTCAGCTGCCCTTTTGTGTCTTGCCACAGGTGTAAGACATCGAGCTTACATGTCGGTACAGTAACATCTGAAATACAGTAGATGAACGGCTTTGAGGGTTTTTTCTGCATCAATTAATATTATACTGGACACAGAAATTATGAGGCAGCACTCTGGCTTCTCCAGCGTCCTTCTTACCCACCTCTGCAGACTGGCTTTGCGGACCAGTTTCCCGTTTTCTCGCACTGGATTTCCAGTGGGCCATCCGGAATGAAACTAGGGTTGCAGCCGTATTTAATTTTCTCTCTGTAGCCGTAGTCTCTCACGACAGCGAACGTCATGAACCCGTTGGGTATTCCGCTGGGGAACGGGCAAGTCACGACTGCAAGACACAGAGGGGGAGACGGGCACCTGACCTCTCTCCTCCAGACAGGCTGCTCTGCTGTTCTACTGAGAGCTGGTGTGTGGGGAGAGTATTGGATCACTGTGGCTGCCGTCACGTCCTCCAGGTGGGGCTGCACACTGGTGGTGGTGGAGGGGAGCCCCATTACCTGTAAAGTGCTTTGAGTGGAGTGTCCAGAACAGCGCTATATAAGTGTAAGCAATTATTATTATTACTGTGAATACCCATCCTATACACAGTACTGTACATGCGATATGCATGAGACCTGAGGCACCTGTGGGCTTGTTTCTCCTGGCGAGACAGCAGCACAAGGAAGCTGTGAACTGTCCAATAAGCCCTTTGGACAGCCAGTTCATGCCTTCCCACTGGCAGCCGAAACTTGTTGTGATTGGTATGGTGGTTATTGGGAGTTTCTTTTTTTTTCTGCTGTGCGTTTAGTATGGTATAACAATATGAACTCATTAGACAGGCACTTGTATTCCAAGTGAGAGAGACCAGATGTCACCTGTGGGCACCATCAACCTGCTTACAGACCCTCTTCTCAGGGGAAACCGGTTCCCTGGCTGAGCTGAGCGCGAGGAGGCGCCGCCGGAGCTGTAACTGGGACATTCCCGCTGACAAGCCCATTTCCCGCTCCTTTCCTGAACCACCAGCCCGCCACGGAAAAAAAAAACTAAACCCACAGAAACAGCTTTCTGGCCACCGTCGGAGGCACGCAGGGGCTTTTCCAAAGCACACTGATTGTCCCGGCCAGGAGAGCAGGACCTGTACTCACTTTTGCACTCTGGAGGCTTGGTCCAATTCCCATTCGCCTGGCATGATCCGAACTCATTCCCAAACAGGGCGTAAGGCGGAGAGCACTCATACTTCACCACATCTCCGAACTGCGTTGTGTTTCCTGTGATTTTCTTGGTGTGGTGGATCAGTCCGTACTGGGGTATGTCCGGGAGACCACAGGTTACGGCTGAGGTTCGCAAGAGACACAGAGCACAGGCACACAGCAGGCCCCTGAATGAGTACTGTCCATATACAGAATACTGGTACCTGTCCTTTGGCACATACAGTACTTTATACTGTGATATAATATCAGTTTGTATTCTGTGGCAGATTACAGGGGGGAAGCGAGCAGAAGTAATTTGATCATTTCAATGCAACAACATATTCAGTCAGACTAAAAAAATGGGTTCTGTCTAAGAAACAGATGGTCTATTTCGGGGGTGTGTTTAAGGATTTTTAAGTAACGAAAACACAACGTTGGCCCTCCACAAATGTAAATTACTTGCAAAAACCGCAATGCTGTTTGCAAGGTAAATGCTGACTGTCTCATGATCTTGAACCAGAAAAAGCACTTTGCTGCTTGGTGTCGCAGCAGTTTCATTCTGCTGAGAGACTCAGTGCAGATCTATTGAAGAAACTCACCACTGCGCCGTGCATTGATAAAAAAAAGGAAAATTCCCATTTTGCACTGAAAACCTGTATCGCCGAGCGACCGGGCGAGGGCCTACTTTCACAAACGGGCAGCGGCTGGCTCCAGGTCCCGTCGTGCTGGCACTGGCTGGTGTGGGCACCCTGAAGCACGTACCTGCGGAAAGAGGGCAAAGAGGAGGGCTCAGGCGAGCAGCTCCGGACTCAGGTCTAGATCGAGCCCTGCTGCCCAGAAAGCTTCGTTTGAGCTCCAGCAGCCGACTCCGTTCTGGACCTCGGCGTGGGGGGGGGGCCTGGGGAGAGGACACGAGTCCCAGCATGCTACTGGCCAGGAGCGGGAGCTGCGGTTTGCCTGTGGGTACCTGGTGTGGAAATGGTTTCTCAAAGTGCCGCAGCCCCTCCTTACCCTTCATGGCAGGTAAAATTCACGACGCTCTGGAAGCTGATGTCGACGGGAAACTGGATCTGTCCGTTCAGCAGAGGTCCTGGTACGGGGCAGGATTTTCCTGAGGAAACCAGGTTTTTTTTTTTTTAAACATCAATCTAAACTCCACCAATTCAAAAGCAAAAGCAAATGTGTCATGTTTATTCAGTAGCTGAGTCGGGAGTTTTATTTTACACCCCAAAAAATAAAAGCTGATCTGATTTGTGCAGAGAAGCAAGTTTCCAAAAATAAGAGAACTGCAGGTCAGAGTGGAAGAAACCCTGTGGTGACTGTGGCTCTCCTCTTTACGAAGGGCTGCCCTGACTGCACGGTGGCAGACCATCCAAGTGAAGAAGCTGCTACAGGGCCACGCTGTGAGGCAGGCATGGCACATAGCACTGCACTGTATATGCTGTGGTTTACCATTGCCCTGTTAAAAAGCAGATATTACATCAACTCGATGGGTGCAGGAAAAAAGGATTCTCCTGAGATGTTATGCACTAGCCTCGGTAAGGCAAAACCAATGTTATATTTAAAAGTAAATTGCTTTTATTCTGAATTTCCCCTGGAATTTCACAGTTGCACAACAGCCTGTTTTGCGCTGTAAATAACTGAACAAACAAAAAACCTCAACACTCCACAGAAGCAGCAGCTCCGGCCAGGAATGATGGAGTCACACCTCCATTTCACCAGCTGACCTCAAATTTCATGGCGCTTGGTCTGCCAGAAACCTCTTGCTCTGTCCCAGTGGGCAGTGTTTTTTTACCAGTTAACCGTGGCCTGGGGAGTCACACATTTCACTGCACATGTTAAGTGTGAAGGTCTGCCCTGTGCTGTTCTGTTTCAGCGTGTTTACGGAAAGGCCTGCCTGCGATGTCGTTGCTGCAAACTGAAACTGGAGATTTCCGATGCGGTAAGAAACTCACGGGAGCACTTCAGAGTTGGTCTGCTCCAGGCCCCAGACAGGGTGCAGACCACCTTCCTGGAGCCCCCTGTGGTTTTGTATCCGGGCTTGCAGGTGTAAAAGGTCTCCTCTCCGGCCTCAAACACACGCCTGTCGTCTTCCATCTCCGCGTTCTCTATCAGCGGGGGGCGCCCACACACTGCAGATGCACAGCCAATACAGTGTGATGTTAATCTGCACGGTGTGCTTTCAGAAAAATATTTTACTACTCTTAGATGTTAAACGTATATTAGGACACTGTTGCAATGCAGTTGACAAATTCTGGTTACAAAACCTTTATTTTACATAAGCACAGCAGATATAAGACAAAAAAGCTCCAGCTGAAACTGTGGCATTGGAGTGTAGAGCATTAATGAAATTGTTTAATGAACTCTAATGTCTTTCATTTGAACTTGCATAGCTTTCTTCGTGTTCAAGAAGGAGGACAGGCGACCAGCCCAGTGCAGTCGTTATTTAGCTGACCAAAAGACTGTGGGTCATTGTTATCCATTCCATTTAATAAACGTCACTAATTCTTTCAGTCCGTTTACCGATTTGAGGTGCCTGTGGTTTGAGCCATTATCTTGTTATTTGTAAAATAGTTGTTCTTAATTTTCTAAAGAGGTACTTATCTATTTCAGAAAACTACACCCATGGAGTTCTTCCAAGAAGAAAATTATCTGGGCATAGATAGACATTCCACAACTTTAATAACTTTATCCCAGAATCCTTTCAGAACAGGACAGGTATATAATACATGTGTGTAATGAGCTTTAGTCTCGCCACAATTTTGCCAACAAGCAGTTGTGTTTCTTGTATTATTTTATTATGTTTTTAAAAATCTCATCTGAGTTTTCCATACACATTCCCTCCAAAACCAAGAGTTAGTTGTCTTAAAAGTATTCAGAGAAATCTATTTTCAAACATTAGAAAGTAATTCTGCTCGTAGCTCATTTTCCTATTTGGAAATCACTTTAATTTCTCCTACACTTAATTCATCTCACAACAGATGACTTCATTGACCCAACATATTCTTAATGTTTAATTTATCAAACAGTTTTGCTACAAACTGAATCAAAGGATGAATTTCATCAAAGGTCTTCTTGATTCCCTGTATCTTTGTAATGTAACTCTGATTATATTTATATAATATATAAATATATATATTATATACAAGGTCGCTCATGGCTACAATACTGCTCAATGAGAAGGCCAGCCAGGACCTACTGTACCTTTGACAGCGTTCGCTGAGGGCTGGAGGGAGACCTCGCAGAGTAACAGCAGAGCTAGTCCCCACAGCATCTTCCTTGGCAGGGCTGAGGACACAGTCGCAGGCACAGGGTCTGTCCTCTCCGGGAGAGCTGAGCCGGACTAAGAGATCAGCCTGCTGACACCGCTGTTTGTCCACCTCAGATGAGCCAACAGATAAGAGCAGATAAGCCTAGCCAATCATTCCATAAAAACACCAACCACAAACACTGCTGCAGGGCACACAACAACAGTAATAGGAATAAAAATCATCTTCAGGCACATAAGTACAGTATAAGGATACTGAACATGTCTAAACTGAAAATAGTCCATTTTCAGGACTAAATAAAAAATAACTTCCAACTTAATAATGAATAATTCTGAACGATATGCATGTCTAGAAAGCAACATTCTTCAGCACAGATTTAAAATAGCGCCCCGCTTGAACTCAGCCTCCACCTTTTCTTCTAGATGTTTCTAAATTCTTCTGGACATTAAAGTATTATAAGTAGTATCAACCCTGGGGTCTCCTTTCTCTTCTGATTTGATCAGGGGTCTAAAGTCCAAACCACAGTTGTATTTACCCAAAGTTGAAAAGTAACTCTCTTGAAATCAATATTTTTTAAAGGCAGCAAAAGAAAGCAAAACACCTGGGGTCTGCCTGCATGGTCAGTAAAGCCTGCTCTTTGTTTGCGTCCCTTAATACTGTGCTGGCACCCACAATCATTAAAGATACAGGCTTTGGGAGCTGCAGTTTTCTCAGATCAGAAACTTCTGTGTATAAAATAACAGACAGCACTGCGGTAAACACTATATCATCTGCCCAGAGGGAGAGCAGGCAGAGCAGGTTAATATTAACACCAGCCCCTCAGCTCTGTGACGTGCCCATCAGCTCAGCACAGCTCCAAGATGACAATCAGATGAGACACAGTGAGAGCTGGAAACAAAAAAAATTGTTGGCTGCTTGAGGTTTAAAACACGTTTCCTCTTATTTGCTACTGAATAAATCAATCGTTCCAGAGGAGCAGTTTATCTAAAGATACTGAAAATATCTTCTAATGTATCCTAATACGCACATATTGACTTATTCATCTATTTTCTGTTTTTCATTATTGTTTTTTAACTTTGATTTGACTCGGCAAAACTGGTTTGATTCCCAGTGACACTGGTTCCCAAACTCTGTGGGACTCCGGTACAGTCCGAGGAGCCCCCAGAAGATCTGGGAAGTATTTTAAATTTTAATAAGCAGTTTTCCTCTCGTTCGTGTAAGTGCCTTGGCTAGGTACAGCATTTAAGATCTGGATTGTCCTCTGGAATCAGTCCAGGGAAGAGCAGGCAGATACTTTCTGGAGCTCAAAGGAGACAGGCAACAAGAGCTGGACCTTTTTAGTTTTGAACAGAGGAGACAAAAAGACTAAAAGGGAAACTTGTACCCGAAGTACCCGAAGGCCCTGACAAAGCGAGCCCAGTGGATCTCTTCTGATCCAACAGTGAAACACGAACCAGCAGACACAAGTGAAAACTGTGGACAGTACATTAAAGGCGAGTGTTTATCATGGTACAAAATACACAGTTACTGTTAAAGAGGAGCAGACCTAACTGTACGCCACTATCATTACTACAATTTCCCTACTGGACCAGTTTCACTGCGGAGTAGGATTCACACTATAGCCAAAATCTGGTAAAAAGCAGACATTTACAGTAGGTATCCTAATATGCACATATTGACTTATTCCTTTTACTGTGCAATTAATCCTTTACTGTTTTCATATACTTGCAGGCATCTTACTGTCATGGACTTACGAAATTAAGAAACATTACAATAGGCCGGAGATGGAGTCACTTCCTCTGGACTATATTTGACTCCAACTTACAAACGTCCATAGCAACTTACATTTGCATGCATACAGCTGATTACTGGACCAATTTAGGTGAAGTACTGTACTTCACTGAAGGGTATAATAGCAATGTCTCACCTGGAGTTCAAACCCACAACCAGCCAGTGACAAGTGAAATGTCCTGACCCCTGCACCACACTATTCTAGCTGAACTGTGGACAGTCTAACACTAACCCTAATCCTAGCATCACTCCAAACACAACAACAACAACATCACTTTATTAGCCCTATACAATTTCTTGAATTAGGAATTTGTCTTTTCGCAGACCCCAGCTTGCTCTCCATGAGACACACAGACAGGGAGATAGCCTGGGGTCAGAGCGCAGGGTCTGCCATTGTACAGCGCCCCTGGAGCAGTTGGGGTGAAGGGCCTTGCTCAGGGGCCCAATGGAGTAGGATTCCTCTGCCGGCTGCGGGATTTGAACCGGCAACCTTCCAGCCACAGGCACAGATCCTGAGCCACAGAGCCACCACTCCGCTCCAAACACAACTTGACCTTCATTGTAATATTTAAAGTACCTCTGATAGCACAGGGCTCAGGGATGAAGAAGTAAATCTCAATCTAGACTAGAAATGTCATGCAATGTCACTCCTGCTAAGGGAGAAACTGGATCACTTGTCTAGCCAGCAGCCATATCACCCTGCAACTCATAATTGGCAACCAACTGAAGCTCAGCAGGTGTGAGCCTGGTCAGTACCTGGATGGGAGACCTCCTGGGAAAAACTAAGGTTGCTGCTGGAAGAGGTGCTAGTGGGGCCAGCAGGGGGCGCTCACCCTGCGGTCCATGTGGGTCCTTATGCCCCAGTATAGTGATGGGGACACTATACTGTAAACAGGTGCTGTCCTTCAGATGAGATATAAAACCGAGGTCCTGACTCTCCGTGGTCATTAAAAATCACAGGGAGTAGGGGTGTAACCCTGGCGTCCTGGCCACATTTCCCATTGGCCCTTATCAATCATGGCCTCCTAATAACCCCCCTCTATGAATTGGCTTCATTACTCTGCTCTCCTCCCCACTGATAGCTGATGTGTGGTGAGTGTTCTGGCGTTCTACATTGGTGCTGGTGGAGGGGATCCCCATTACCTGTAAAGCACTTCGAGTGGAGTGTCCAGAAAAGCGCTACAGTGTATATAAGTGTAAGCAATTATTATTATTGTGCGCCTTCCACATCCCCTGAGAACTCCCTGTGGAGAAACATAGAATCCACCACAAGGTGTCGCCACCGAGCACAGTATAACTCACCAGTCACTTTCCAAGTAACCTTCCCAGCTGAACCCCTTCCACCTAAATTAGTTGCCTCAAGTACCCCCTTGAGTTTTTAACTAATTCAAACCTTTCAAAACATGTAGATAGATGCTACAGCAACCGTCTTAACATAAGTTGAGCTCCCATGAGTCTGATCCAAGGTTATCATCGCCTTTGGCTTTCATCCATTTGACTCCTTGCTCCTAATTTCCAGGATTCTCTTCCCTGATGTTCCCAGTCTTCTTTGCTCACCTCCAGATTAAAGACCCATCTTTTCCCTTTTCCTCTGGCCTTCTCCTACAGTACATTATACTCCGGGCTGATGGACCTGAGCTGAGACGTGAGTTCTGGACCTGTCCTGTTCTTATACTTTACACATGTCCATGTACTGAAAATGCTCCCAGGTAACAAAAGTCACATGTTCTCAAAATCATGCTGACTCAGATGTTCAGTTTAGTTTATTTGTCATATGCACAAATGCAATGACATGCTTAAACGTGTTAAAGCATTTCACAGCACTTAATAATAATTTCTTACACTTATGTAGCACTTTTCTCTACACTCCACTCAAAGTGCTTTACAGGTAATGGGGCTCCCCTCCACCGCCACCAGTGTGCAGCCCCACCTGGATGATGTGACAGCAGCCAGAGTGCGCCAGAACGCTCACCACACACCAGCTCTCAGTGGGTCTCAGAGAGCTCTCAGCTATCAGTAGAATAGAGTTATAATAGATGGAGGATGGATTATTAGAAGGCCATGATTAGTAAAGACCAATAGGAAATGTGGCCAGGATACCAGCTTAACACCCTTTCTCCTTTCAAAAAATACCCTGGGATTTTTAATGACAGAGTCAGGACATTAGTTTTTATGTCTCATACAAAACAGGGCACCTTTTCACAGTATAGTGTCCCTGTCACTCTACTGGGGCATTAGGACCCACATGGACCACAGGGTGAGCGCCCCCTGCTGGCCCCACTAACACCACTTCCAGTAGCAGCCTTAGTTTTTCCCTTGAGGTCTCCCATCCAGGTACTGGCCAGGCTCACACCTACTGAGCTTCAGTGGGCTGCTAGGTGTGAGTTGCAGGGTGATATACAGTAGCTGCTATCTTATTAAAGCTGACACGTATTAAAAGTTGTGTTCTATGGAAGGCAAAATATGTAAGAGAGTTGGATTAATTGATTTTGGTTCTGTTACAGCATATGATGCTTTTGGTGCGTTGTGTAGAATTATTGTCAAACTGTGTGGCCGAGTTGAGGATTTTATTTACTAGATGAACGGGGCTTGTAGAATCAATCTCTGCAGTTCTAACAGGTTAACATACCTGTGTCCAGCTGCTTAAAGCTCATTCAGTTAAAAGTTTAAAGATACCAAAGAACTGCGGCAGCTTCAGGACTTGAAGTCACTCTCAATAATGTTACAGGCACTTTTTTAATTCACCGGTCATTACGAAGACATCAGCCCTGCAACACAGCCCGACGGCCAGCAGGTGGCGCGCCGCGCTACCATTTTTTTCCATCGGGGAATGAACGTATCCTCCCCAGGAGTGTAATGTGCACTGACGTCAGCCGGAGTCAAAGAAGGAAGGAGAGTCCGCTGTCTGAGCTGTCATTAACTAGTTGTAGCGCCGGCGAGGGGGGACGCCGCTTGGTCAGACGTCTTGAGTTGCAACGACAGCGCCCGCAGTTCACAGACACGAAACTCCTGCAGCAGCACAAGATAACCCACACGGGACGGGACCAAGCCAAGCCGAACGGAGGGCTCTGTCGCTTTCTGACATGGCTGATATGATACATATCAACGAGCCACCTTCGGCGGACGTAGCGAACCGTTTCGCCCGCAAAGGTGCTTTGAGGCAGAAGAACGTCCACGAAGTGAAGAACCACAAGTTCACGGCCAGGTTTTTCAAACAGCCGACCTTCTGCAGCCACTGCACCGACTTCATCTGGTAAGCGAGCCCTCTTTAAATCCGGGGCCCCCCTCGGCAGTTTCGAAAGTGTCCGCCGACGGGGAGTTTTCTGCTGGAATAACTCTTTTCCTCCCTGCACGGCGTCTCCCACTCCTGCCTCTCCGCGGCCAGTCTGGTGCAAACTGGGAGGAAGCGCAGCCGCCGGGGAGAGGCGGTTTCTCCCGTTTCGCTGCAGAAACTTAAGATGCCAAGTTGGGTCTTTTTTTTTTTCTGCTGAGCCGCGGAGTTTTGCAGGCTGGGCTGGGCTGGGCTGGGCTGTGACCGCCGGTAGTTTAGTTACTTGGTGTCCCGGGCCGGCGTCGTGCGGGTCTTTCGCGCTCACGGGGTTCTGCGCCCTTTTAAAGTTTAGGATTCAGCTGGGGGGGCTTTTGTCTTCTCCAGATTGAAAAACGCCCCCGGTTTCCTTGTATTTGCGAGGATGCGATACGAAAGATGGCAAGATGCAGAAGGTTTTTTTTTTGATGCTCCAAATAATCGATATGTATTCAGCAAAATTCTGAAAAAGTGAAGAGCGCAGGGACTCGACTCACCCGCGGTCTGCGTCTCGGCGGATTTTCTCGTGAAAGCGCTTCCAGGATGATGCTGGATCTACAGGTCTGAAGTTCCCGCACACCCTTCTCGCAATCCCGAAGCAAGTTAAACAAACAGTGCCCTCGGCAGTCGGCAGCTCCATTTAGCAACTGTGAACCGCGATGTCCCCGCGGGGGTTACACGTCGTTCGGAAACCCAGCTATGCTGTAATTTTTAATTGCATTAAAACACAAATGAGTTTTGCCACACAGCAGGCATGCTTCTGAATGCACACCGCCTAACACGTCTGTAGGCCGGGGGTTTACAATTAAGATTCGCAACAAGTGTTTCGCAGGCTAATTTCCACGTAGACCGAGATTCATTAAAAACGCCGACAACCTGAGCGCTGGAACCAACGGCATCTGTTGCGTTTTTAATGGCTCTCGTTACAGATGTGTGTGACAGTCTGCAGCGCGCTGGTGGGCTTCATTTCCCTTGAACGCGGGGCGCGCACCTGCGTGTTCGTGGATTATCAGTACCGGCGTGCAGTTTCGCTCAGCCACTGTATTGGAGAAAACCGCTGTTAAAAAACAAACCCGCGCGGCCCTGGTGATAACTGCACTTGCACGGTCTTCTTGAGCCGAGCTTTGTTCAAAGGCTGCCGCAGCGGTAGAGAATTCCTGGTCCCCTGCGTTTTCAACCCGTTTCCATTGTTGTGGAAACGGGGCTGCCTGGTTGTGTGACACCGCACGCATCCGTACGCCAGTGCACAGAAAGGGTCTGCAGTCGCCGGCGACGTGCGGGCAAACCTGACTGGTACCCACAGACGGCTGACCGCCATTAAGTGATTAATCCCCTGTGGAAATGGGGAAATAATTTCCCCCAGAGGTGCGATCTATCAGGTCGGTCACAGACGGCCTGAGTGAATGATGTGGGCTGCTATCTAGAGCTAGCTGCCCTGAATGCTGTGCAGGAGGGTGTATGCAAAACTTTTTTTTATAACGTCTCTAATTTCCATCTATGAGACTAGACTGTGCGGATCTGTATTTCACTGCGCTGCATGTCAGCTCAGCACATTTTGTGTCCTAATGCTGTGGCCAAGAGGTGTGCTCTAATTACAGCAGCACGTTTTTGGTGGTGGTGGTGGTGGTGGGGGTTGTGCTCCATTAGTTATAAAGCAAGATGTGGAAATGTGTGGCAGGTAGCAGCTGAGAATTTGCACCAATGTGGTTAACATTTGGTGTGCAATCTTGTTGTGATTTGTGAAAGCCTGGGCTGGGAGAAACGGAGGAGTCTGCAACAAGGGAAGAAGACAGGGTCCTGCTTCACGGAGTCCTTTATAGGTTTGGGAGGGCTGGCTACGGCCGTGAAGCCTTGCCTCTCGAGCTGCTCGGAGTCTGTCTCCACCTCACAGCCTGACCTCCCCAGGTCTCGGAAGCTCAGCCGGGCCTGCTCAGTACTGGGGTGGGAGGCCTCCAAGGGAAACCAGGTTGCTGCTGTAAGTGATACTGGTGGACCTGTAGGTGGCGCTCTGACCTCTGAACCTGAATTTCCCAAATATTGTCCCCAGTCTGAGTCATTAAACTGAGTTGCTGACTCTATTGAGTTCATTGACTCCTCAGTCGTGAAGGACTCCTGGACAGTACTGGCGTAGTTGCTGCGCTGTGCTCTTGGTCTGTGCTGTCTGGCGTTGCTAAAGATCCCTCTTCATTCAGCTGCTGAAGCAGCTCTCATTGCTCCACCTGATCTGCTGGTCTGCTGGGGCTGATGGGCTGTGTTACCCCTGGGGTGTTGTGGGGGGGTTTGGGGGGCTGCTCTTCAGTGACGGGGGATGTGGGTCCTCTCCTGTGTTTATACTTCTCTGGGCTGAAAAGCGCTATGTACAGTAAAAGCAAGGCGGAGTTAATCATGAGTTATCGCCCAGGGAGGAGGTAGAGGGCATGCTCTGTCTATCTCGATCACGCCGCCTCACGTACGCCAGCAGGCAGGTGTTGCACAAGGCTGGTGCTCAAAGTGCACGCCTTCGGAGAGTGGGACAAGCTGCCCAGCCACATCACTGAAGCAGATTCCCCGGCTTCTTCTCAGAAGCAATGGGGTGAGGTTCTGGGATCAGTTGGCTATAGATGGGCCAGCTGACATGTTCTGAAATCAAAGTTCCCAGAGCTCTCGCACATGAGGTCAGAGGCGCTGGTCAGTGTTGGTCTTCCTCATACAAAAACATTAAAAACAGATTTAGGTTTAAGATCAGAGATTAAGCCAAGACAATTAGATAAAATATAGTCCTGTGAAGAAGCTTCTTTAATTTTCAGGCTGAAAAGACAAGAGAGACACCATTTCAGCTGTGGATCCTTCTTCAGGTGTGACACTTGAAGAAGGCTCTGCAGCCAAAATGTTTTCTCTTTTCTTCTCAGCTGGAATAAACCTTTGCTTGCTCCTTTGCAGCCTACGCAAGCTGATGCAGCCACCTACATGAACTACTTTAATTTTTTAATTTTCTTCTGTAATGAAAGTCCTGTGTAATGAATGCTCATTCTCTCCAAACAGCTGTTTTTTTGTCTGTTGTTGATCCCTGCCAATTACTGCATGCAAACTAAGAATAATTTCAAGTTTAGTTTCAATTAGTTTCATTAGTTTCAATTTCAGAAACTAATGGTGCTGTAGTGTGCTTAGTACTACTGTTCAGAATGCAGTGGCTTGTTAGAGCACCTTCTGCAAATTTCCTGTTCTTACAGTGAGGAGCTCCAGTGGTTCAGTTAAGTGTTTTTACACTAGGTGTGCAGTACAGTGTTCTCACAGGTTTTTTGCTCTAGAGTAGAAATAGCTCCTAATTAAGATAACAATCATTTCATCGCAGTAATACAATATGAATTTGCCAGCCGAGCTACTGATAATATAGATGGAAACAAAAAAAAAGTAAAATTAAAAACATGTCTTTCCTCTTGAGTGGTGTTTTGAGGTTTTCAATGAGCTCTGAGAGAAAGATGGAGAAGAATGCATCCTACTGGCCACAGATGGTGGACAGATGGGCTGCGAGATACAGCAGATACACAGACATTTCAGCAGACACTGCTTTTGCTCCTGAACTAACGAAGAAAAGAAGCAAATACAAACGGATAAGCAGCTGAATTAGCACTCTGTGAAGGTCTCTGATAAAAGCAGTTTTGTTTTCTTTGTGCATCACACAAACGTGCAAACCTTCCCCAGCGCTAGCCATGACATGCCAAGTCCTCTTCTGTGTGGCTAAGAGCCGCGTACTTGTGGGGCGCCAGTCTCCTTCATTACTCTTTATTAACGTTCATGCGAAAACCTTTAGCTTGTCAAACCGCTTGTATATATAATTCTGGCGTATTCTGATTCTTCTCTCTTTTTCCTTTCACAGGGGATTTGGAAAGCAAGGATTCCAGTGCCAGGGTAAGTTCTTGATGAAAAGAGTTCTTCTGTCTTGACGCCTGCTCTGGTTTGTTGGGCAGCCTAAAGGAATGCCACTGTTTTAGCCAGAGAACACTTCCCATCATCTGCAAGCACTTGTTAGCGCAGAGGAGGACGTGGACATCCATTCTCTAAACGGAGATACTGTCTGTCCTCGTCATTCGCTTCACCGGACAGCGTATCTTCTGTGCTGCTCTACTCGGGTATCCTCTGGCTCTCTCAGTCTGGGGGGTGCCTTACGCGTTCACACGAGGTGAAGATTGTGGCACAGAGAGATGAGCTGAGCAGGATCGAGACTGAAGAGCCGTGAGTTGTTGGGGGTCACGATGGGCGGGAGCCATTCTCTGTTATTTTCAGAACCGACGGTGAAGTAGCATCTTCCTGTTCTCCTTCAAGGCCAGGAGAGGCGGAGTGGTGTCTGTAGCTCGCAGCTCCCGGTGTCAGGGGGCAGGGAGGAGCAGTCATTCCTTCACGTGGAGAGGCCCAGCGCTGGCTCCCCGGCCCGCGGAGAGGTTTGCAGGTGGAGGGGCGGTGTGCTGGAGCCGCCGCGCGGAGCTGCAGCGCTGCCTGCGAATCCCCGCGAGCCGCGCCCGGGCAGGAAGTGGTTGCTTGGCGTGACCCGCACGGCTCGCGCCCTCACTCGCTTCCTTTCGTGCCCTTTCTCTCCGCGGCCGCTGAGCTGTTGAGGGCGGTCTGAAAGCACGCGGGTCGCTGTACAGAAAGAAGGCAGGGTCCCGGGGCTTCATCCCCCGCGTGAAAGACCCCCTGCTGGCGGAGCGCCGGGCGGCAGGGAAAGGGCGGCCTCGTCGCCAGCGGGCCGGGCACACGTGAACCACTTCTTAGTTCCTCGGCTTTGTCCGAACCCCAAGGGGCTGCAAGACCTCTAAAAATAGCAAGGATCTCGTGTATTATAATACGAGAAGAAAAATCCGAGCCTTTTAATCCCCGCACTGGAGCTGAGGATGTTGTTTTCTGCTCCATGCATGTTTACCTACACACACTTTGTTGCTTTGCACAGTTGGCGACCCCAGCACCAAGTCCCTTTCCTCCAGGGCTGTGTTTGCTCATATGCCCCACAAAATGCAGAAATATTCTGGTGCTCCGTTACCTATAAACTCAAAGTCTATCATTCTGTCCGTCAAACGATAATTTTTCTGATGAGGAAAAATGTGTCCAAGGCAAAGTGATGTTAAGAGAAGCCTTCATCACAGCTGTCTGCTTTTGGCTTGCCACTGAGAGATGATTTGGGTTGACTTGTTTTGTGTTAGTGAGATCCAGTCTGGACAGGTCAGATCAGGTCAGGAGAAGGGCACAGAATATATCAAGCGAGTCTCTGAATATTGTGGTGAGCACACTTTACGCAGTTGCCAAAGAAATGGGAGGTGTTTTGTACCACGAGAGACTGCCTCGACCTCACTCCAGTCTGCAGCCTGGCAAAGAGGAAACTCAAGAGACCAACAGCAGCTTTGAAAGAGCTACAGAGTTCAATGGCCAAGATGGGAGAAAATACCCAAGAGACAACAGGATCCCAGTCACTCCACAAACTGGCCTTCATGGCATTGGGGCAGCCCTGTCTCAGACCCTACATGGTACTACGAAGGCGTTTCTTTGCCCTGTTGCTCTAGTGGGAAGTCCTGTCTGTACGAAAGGATTGTACTCCACACACCAGTCCTCCTGTCCTGATTTTGTTTCTCTCGCTTTGCAGCCTAAATGTTTCTAGATGCCACTCCTGACGTGGCTGAAATCAATAGACTAGGTCTCGGGTCCTTCATTTCCAGAGTTTCAATTTAAAACAAACAAACAAAAAATCCTGCCACACCTGTCCTCTAAAAATAGACTGCCTGGTCTTCTTTCTTTGAGGAAAAATAACTTTTGTTTTGGTACAGTGTATTGTCATTTGGCACCCAGCCAGTTACAGGAGGCGACATCACTCTTCAGAGTCCTGGAGTCGGGGCAGCGCTGGGTTATTCCACAGCGGAGCCCCAGTCCTGGAGTCGGGACAGCGCTGGGTTACCTGGAATTTGAATAGTCTGGGTTATCTGGATCTGGATAGCTATAATTTTAGCTAGATATTCCACGGTAAGAGACCCCAGTCCTTTGGCATCACAGAGTCCACCACTGTCTCCCCTGTGTGGCTGGGAAGCTGGAGCTGTCTGTCAGCAACTGTGATCGAATCCCTGCAGGGGAGGAGCTGCACTCTTCACACATCACACCTATTAATCCTGCCAGAAATAGCATGAGCACCGTCACTGTCATGATCATTTTCAACGCTCGCTTTGTCTCGCGTCATTAACCCCCATGTGGTAATAAGCTAATGTAAAGCCTGGGAGACTGGAGATCCATCTGTCCATGAGCAGAGCTTTGCTCGTGCCCTGCGAGGGCTGAGGAAGAACAGGACCACACGCTGGGCGCTGGGCTGAGAGGTTCATTGGAGAACGCACATCACACATGCTGCACTCACGCGTGACGATTTAGAGACGTGCACCGTGCCGGCGTGATTTTGAGAGCTGGGAAGAATCCAGAGCACCAGGAGAAACCTCACATGGCCACAGAACATGCAAACTCCACACAGCAGCCACCCCAGCACAGAATCAACCCCAGGACCACGAGCAATGTGGCAGTGGTGACCACCTCGCCACCTCGCCTCCATGCCGCCCGAGAGCAGAGGTATCGGCGTGCAGTTCTTTTCAGAATTATCGGGCTGGTGTTTGCTTATCGGATGAGGCAGAAAAACTCTGGGGAAAAATGATGCGTGTAATCTAATTAACACAGCGCAAGAGAGCCGTCGCCAGTTTCACGCTCCCAGGTTCCACCAGCCATGCTTGCTGCTAAGCCTGTTTCTGTATTTACAGAGAGCTTGTCAGTTGGTCGTCTGGCTGCAACGTCTGTGCAAATCTGCTCCGCGGAGAGAGCTGTCCTCTTTGGTTCCACTGCTCGGCTGTTCCCAGGCACCCTGCAGTCTTCTACAGCAGATATGATAATTTTAGCCTCAGCTAACATAGAGGAAATGTCTTATATGAGCTCGGAGGAGGTCGTTTTGTGGCAGGGATTATTTCTGAATTTCGGGACTAGGAAGGCCGGGCTTCATTTTTCCTTCCTACTTCCTGCTCTCAGTTTGTACTGTTGTTATGGACCACTTCATTCTCTTCTGTGTGGAACAAATCGGCTGCAATAAGTAGATTGGCCAATAAACACCCAGAGGAATTCAGCACAGCTGGGGATTCCTTGCACTGTCCAGAGGGCCTGGACAGCCGTGATTTCGGAAGTCCAAGACCTCGCAATGTCTTTCTGTTTCCATTCTAGCTTTGTCCCGCAGTCCTGCGGGGTTAATTCCCCTCTGGAATTCACAGTTTTGCACACAATGGGAGTGCTGCTTGTTTTTTTACAGAAAAGACATGTCTCTGTTTATCTTTGTCCTCTTGAAGGTTACGGTGGTAAAATAAACAATGTGGGTTTTTTTTGCAAAAAAGAAGTGGAAAAATACAAAAACGTGCCCTGTGATCAGGGTGCGAAAGCTCTCGAGGTTCGGGTGCGGCCCAGGCCCTGCAATGTGGCGCAGGTTACTGGCCCTGGGGCTGCTGGGAGTTACTGCCCGCCAGCATGCTGAGCAGTTTGTGGGAAAGGGGATGGAGATATGTTGTTTCAGTGTATCTGTGTTTGTGTGCTGGACTCTCATGGCTGAGATTAAGTACGGTATGTGGCGTGGAACTGGAATGTAGTTGTTTTTTTTTACCCTTCGTTTGACTTTCCACCAGCGGGCGTTGTTTTTTGAAGACTGGCATTGTGGGACTCCATGTCCAAAGAGGAGGGAATCCTTGGCTTCGTGGGCTGTTCCGTGTTCCGTGTTCCGTGTTCCGTGTTCCGTGTTCCGTGTTCCGTGTTCCGTGTTCCGCGTTCCGCGTTCCGCCGTCCACTTTCCTTTATCAAAGGGATGAAAGGTTTCATGTTGTATAGTAGAAAACGTAGCTAAGTCTGGGAAGGCTGGACAAGAAAAGTTGCATCCTCAAATAGGATAAGCGGTTCTCTAGAGAAGACAGATATATGTGGCTTTTCGTTCTTGCTTCCTGTTCCCAGGAGCTCCGTGACTTGAGTCTGTGAGCAGAGATGGAGACTGTTCTTAGACTCCCCAGGCTCCTCACCGGTGTGAGTGTGTTGGAGAATAGGTGCCTCTCCAGAACTTTGATTTGATTATTTGGGGAATAACTGCTTTGACTTTTGTGAAGCCCTGGGTCTGTTAGATTGGTCAACAACAATCTCCGTGGCGTCTGAATAGCAGTGTGCAGATAGTTACCTTGCACACATGTGTAAGTACAGTCCCTTGAGTCTCCACTGCCTGAGCCCTGAAATGTCCCAGCTATTCAGCATACTTCAAATGCTTTAAGGGAAAGATTGTTTTGGGTTCAGTAAGTGGGGACATATTTAGGGTTAATAAAGCTTGTCAAATTAGACAGTTCCCTTCCTTTTAACAACAAGAGCCCTTTAAATATAGGCATGTTCTCGCTATAGATGGCAGTTTGAGTACCAGCAGGGTAATAATTACAGTACCTTGGTGTTTTTGCTGGTATTTAGTTCCAGTTTGTCTATAAGAGAAACCCTACCTCGTTATTTAGTTGTCGTTTAAAAGTGCACCACTGATTTTCTTTGTCTTGACGGATTAATTGTGTTGCTTTTCTGTGAACCTCATTAAATGACTGGTTAGCTAAAAAACAGGAGCACTTTCACATCTTTCAACAAGTGAATGAAGGCTTGCGCAACCAGTTTACCAGAAAAAATATTCTGGTAATGATTGATTTTGCTGCTCATTAATATGCAGTGGGTTTTATGGGAGGATAAAGTGTTTCAGCAGTTGCAGTGCTTCATATTAATGTAACAGACTGATAATGTGCTTGATCTCACTGTTGATTGTGCATGTTCTCTCTTACTCCATTCTCTTCTCTTAGTAGCTCTTTGCTCCCATTTTCTCTGTTTTAAAACGCGGTGTA